CACAACAGTTAGGAGGTTCTTGAATAAGTACAAAAGGACCAAAAAAACCGAAAATTTACCTAGGTCTGGACATCCCCCGCCCTAAAGAAGCAAGAAAAGAAAGCCATATTAAAAAAGCTTTGAAGGAAAGACGTGAGCCCCTGCGCAGAATTGTGAAGGATTTGAACCTTCAATACAGTGTGTCGATGGCAGCTAGGGCCCTCCACGACTTCGGGGTTCATTCTCGTGTTGCTGCTGTAAAACCTTTTTTAGCAGAAGACAATATAAACGGACATATAGATTGGTGTGAAAAAAATAAGAACAGAAGCATTTATGAGTGGTAGAATATCATTTTTTCTGACGAAATGAGTGTGGAAGTTGGCAAACAATTGTGCCAGATTCGAGTATGGTGTTATGCGGATGAACAGTATAAACACGAGTGTTTGGTTCCGAGTTTTAAGAGTAGAAGGGTTTCAGTGATGGTGTGGTCATGTTTTGCTAATGAAATCAAAGGTCCCATGGTTTTTTTTGATGAATACAAAGCTTCCAAACAAAAAATTAGTAAAAAAATTTACACCAAGGTTTTAGACGATCACCTCGTACTGTTTGTTGCGGCTGTGCATTTGTTAACTGGGTTGAATCCAATTTTTCAGCAGGACAATGCCCCTATTCATAAGGTGACAAATTGGCTTAAAGCAAAAAAAATCAAATATATGAAGTGGCTGTCCCGATCTCTGGATCTAAATCTGATAGAAAATATCTGGAAGATTGTAAAAGACAATATCCAGAGTCACAAAGACTTTCCAAGAGATGCAGACCAGCTTAAAATAGCCTTAAAGGAGGAGTGGGTAAGGGTAGATAAGTCAGTGTTTCGGGTGGTTGTGGACTCAGTGCCACGAAAAATCAAGGAAGTGGCTGCTGCAGAGGGTCATTCATGCAGATATTAAATAAAAAAAAAATTTAATATTTTGTAATGAAAAAATAAAATAAATAAAAATTTTATTTTTATCTTATAAATTGGGTGTTACTTTTGATAGCTACTGTACGAATATTACATGAATATGCAATGTCCGATTCTATGCAACGATCGAATTTTTTAATCTATAGATTTATAACAAATAAATCTATTTTACATACAATATTTTTTTAAAGGACAATGTAAATAAAATTTCAAAGAAAACTTTATTTATGTAATAAATATTTTAAATAAATCATTTATATAATAAATTTATTTAAAAACATCATTCATATAACAGTTTTAAAAAATTGTCATTTGTTAAATATTTGTGCTTTTTAAGTTTTTTTTTTAAAAAAACTTTTTAGCATAATTGAAGTTAGTTAGATTAAGGTTAGTAGCTTATATTTGCATAAGATTTTAGAAAAAAGATAGTTTCTTGTTCTTATGTACGGATTTTTGAAACAGGCAAGTTTTGATTAAAATAAATATTTGTTTTGAATTTTTTTAGATTGTTATTATATAAAATTGTTATTTGCTGTATTTGATCTTTACGTGAGTAAATTTTTTAATACAGGTATCAAAAAAGTATATAAAATTTAGGATACATTTTAGATTGGGGTATACAACATCAGTCTAATTACAAACATAATGCAGATGATCATATCGGCTAATCGGCAAAATTAGATCTTAAATTCAGTTATTAAATTTATTATGTTTGTGTGACATTGACTGTCAAATGACTTCAAACCATTCTTATTATCATAATAAACATCATAATGAACTAGACATCAAACCAATCTCTCGACACCAAAACCAATCTTTTATCAATACAAAGAAGTGCAAATACTCTGACAACTTTGTAAGTTATATGCTTTTTACGTTAAAAAAAATAAGCTATTGTTACATATAACATATGCAAGCACAAATGAAAATTCAAAGTTCACCAACCATTTCTTGTCAACTGTATTTGAATAAAACCTTTAAAAATATTAAAGGATTACTTTTACATCAACACAAAATTCATAAATACAATCAATTTTCTAATATTTGTTCCTCACGTATATATTGCACTCTATGCCTAGGAAGAAGTTATAAGAATCAGCGCGGACTAAATCAATATGAAACTATAGTATATTCTAATTACAATATTCCTCGTGCTAATATAATACTACAATCTCCCAAAGCAATTTCTGAATTTAAAAAAACTTTAATTTTTTTAATTCAAAACAAGTTGAAAAAATGGGTATCAATTACAAAGATGATATATAGTAAATGTTCCATGTTTGGAAAGTTTGTTCATAAGTATCTTTCAGGAAAATATCAAAAGATACTCACCAAACCGTAGATGGTATTATTGTGTATTTGCAGAGAAAGAAGCATATGATAGATTAAGCAATATATTGGAAGATTCAAAGTGAGGTGTTCGTGAATATAAAAATCGGCAACAAACTTGGGTAATTTTAGTATTTCAAGACTTAAATCAGTTATATAATTCTTCTAAGCAGCTAAAGATAGAAATTTATTGGAAATATAAGCAAATAAAAGATGAAACAAATCATATTTTAGAAGCAGGATACATGTCTTTAAGCTTTGTAATTGATCAAATGTATTTTTAGAATATTGCAATTAAATCTAATAACATTTATTCGTGATTTGTAATTTTAAGTGTTCTATCTCTTTTAAAGAAAGTAGGAATATTGTGTATATAAAAAAAAAGTAATCTATTTTCAAATTCCATTATTT